CATAATAAAAAAAGTTGAAAATAATATTTTTTAATTGCTGACCTGGTTATTATTATTTATTTGAATCTTTTAATTGACTCGATTTTCCTTATTCCATGTTAATTAGCGCTGATCAATATTGTTGCGATGAATATAATCAAATTAAATAATAAAAAACAGACTAGAACTTGAAATTATTTTAAATAATAATTAAATAGTTTTGTTGTTGTTAAGGTACCAAAAACAAAAAAAGTATAAAGTGTGGCATATCATTGTACTTAGGAGACCGACTTCTTTCAAAAACTGAAATAAAAAATGCAGGTACGTATTTAAAAAAATTAAGTTGGCCTCTGTATCTCACAAATTATCAGCTAATTTGAAAATCTAAAAATACTATCAGATAGTCTTAATAAAGTGGCCATGAAAATGTGCAATTAGTTTTTTGATTTTCCAAATATTAACGACAGGAAAAAATAAAATTTATTTTCAAAAAATCCGTTTTTTCCAAAAAACTCTTCATTTTTCCCCGAAAACAGTATCGTAATACAATAGCAAGTTGGTCATTGTGAGACAGATCTGGTGTAAAATCCATCACAGTTGAATAATATTTTGTGTCTTTGTGTGTTTTTGATAAGTACGATACTCGGTACGATATTATCGGTTTTGGTCGCAGCTCCCGTTGTTCAATGTGTTCACGAATGAATGGATCGAACTCTGCCAATAGCTCCAGACCCCCCATAAAATTACCATTATGTGGGACCCTCTAAATTCTAAGCCTCTTATACTCAAAAATTTTACCACTACAATTACCCGTTTTAGGACATTGTGATAATATTCTGTTTCTTTTCTTAATTACTCTTAAAGCTGCTTGTCTAAAACAGACTTATTTTCTTTTCGTGTCAACCACACTAACATTGATTTCTTATGTTCATTAGAATTTTCGTGGGTTTCTAAACAAGTTTCTATGTGTTTCCAATCAGAAATTCCGGTCGTGTATTGAGAAGAGGTTTTAAAAAAAAGTTTGCAAGGCAAACAAAAAACAGCACCAACACTGGTTGAATATATTAGCCAAGATATTTCCAGTGATTGACCATTTTTAATTTTTTTAGTGAAATGTATATTTGAAAATGCTCTGTTTTGTTCCTTGTATTTCTTTGTAGAAGCTGAATATGTGTTTTTTGATTTTGAAAGTCAGTGATTTCATGTGAGAGGATGTCATTAATAAAATCATTATTTAGCAATTCTGGCCACAAGCCCACGTCAACATATTTCTCAAACTCAAAATTAGTATTGTCTAAATTTCTTTCCGTCTCGGTGTTACCATCCTGTCGCTGAACACCAATATCGTTTGCCGTTTGATCATAGGATTGGTGGTAGTCAAGACTTTGCACATTTTTTCATCATTTGTCTTTTTGTTGGTGTTGCGATTTGCTACTCCCTTCAAATAGATCCTTTTCAGATAAGATCGTCTCTTGTCGCTTGTTGATGAATTTTCAGCGATTTCGTCGTTCGTTTTTATGTTTTGATTGGAAAAAAGTCCCAATTTTTGCACATTTTTTTCTTTCTTTTTTTCGATCTAGCTGTAATTTGCGTTTCTCAGCTCCACTTTCATACTTTCGACCAGACATTATTGTAAATTAAAACTTTGATTTTTTTCTGAAAATAAACAATGAACTTGATAGTTTTCTGATAAATAAACAGTGAACGAGATAATCGTTGCATTTGAATACGTGAATACTTTGTAATGAGTGCAGCAATTAAAAATTATGGTAGTTTTTCTTAATTTTAGATTTTTTTAAATTCATATTATCGCCTATTGTTTTTAGCGGGATCTGGGCTGCAGCCCAAACAGCCCTTAGGTAGATCCGGCCCTGCGCATGTAGAATGTAGAATGTTTATTCTAAATTCTACATCCGGAAATTACGATCACAGGCGATCGATAGAGCAGCTAACTGAAGATTTTACGTGAGACATTCAACTTTAAAACCAATACATTCTAATCAACCAAATAGGAAACATATGATTCATAATTTTAGAGTAGTTTAAAAAAATCATATCAGACTTAAGTTAAAGTCTGGTAGTCCATATCATCTTCAGAACCATTTTCTTTGAGGACTACTAGTGTCAGTTCAGTTAGCAGATCATCTTCATCAATTCTTCATCCTCAAATTAGCATCTGTATAAACATTTTCAACAACGTGTCATTTTCACGAAGCGCTGTCAATTTTAATATGTCTAAAAAAAGAACGATGCTGTCATTTGAATAGTAGTGTTTATAATATTGGCTTGAGAATTCCTTATTTTTCTTTTTCACATATAGGAAATATATACTGTGTTCCTACTTGTAAGTATTCTTAAAGATTTATTTAAGGGTCTAATATATGTGTATATCTTCCATGAGAGCTGAAAACATACATATACAAAGAGCATACGTACGTTTTCAGGTAAAGAAAAAAAATGATTTAAAATAAGACATTTGCAGTCAACTTCCGGAAAATATGTAAAAAAAAGCTTTAAAAATTTTTGACTTTTAGCTATATTTATTAATCATTTAGCCTAGGTTGACGTCACATCAGGGGGGAGGGGGTTCTAAAAATGTGACAACCCGCGACAAGGACGGGAGGAGGGGTTCAAAAGTCCTAAAATTCGTGTGACGTAATTTATGGATGTTTAATGTTAAAATTAATTTATGGATGCATAATAATAATGTTTAATAATGTTTAATAATTATCCAGATTTCAAATGGTTTTTAAAACATAATATCGCCATTTAAAACCATCTTGAAAATTACTGTCATTCTAATATTTATTTAAGATTAGAAAAACAATGTAAAAGAAAATCAGTAAACCCATATAATTAAACGTTGAATGGAATACAAAAAGAAATAGAATATCAATTTGTATTCAAAAACTGTCAAATATTGTTATAAACAGCTATTATGTTAATAGATTTTAAATAGGTTAATATTGGCTTTGTTACTTTCAAAAAAACCGCTCATGTATGGGAAAAAAGGCACATCCCGAAGACATATAAATTAGTATTCTGTCAACGTTTCAAGGTTTCGCAAACATCTAAAGGATTTATAAAAAAAGACCAGCATTCAGATAGACTAAACTAGAAGTCAATGTATGTTTACGAGCGCCTGAATCAATTGTATAAAGTTTTTGCTTTTATAAAGAATATAAAAATGGTCTAGGAACATAAATGACGCCACACAGAAATAAACGTTTCAATATACACAATATGTATAGGTATAAACTTAAGTGCGTAGAAATCGGCCCACTGTGAACTTTTGGTTTTAACTGTGTCTTTTAGAATCTATTTATCAGAGCAAGTAAAACATATGAGATGTTTCAAAGACAATTTAACATGCTTTAATATGAGTATAAATTTATCCAGAGTACTTATCGTTGAGTAACGGATTACTTATGGAGGTGGTTCCTGCATGATCTGGGGTGCAATTTCTATGACTGCGCGAACCGACTCAGTTCTCATCTGTTGGGGCGACCGTCGGCACGGAAGAGTAAGTATAACTGGTGCTAGGTATATTGAGGAGATTTTAGCAGTTCATGTAATACCTTACGTCGACTACATTGGAAACGCAGTCACTTTTATGCATGACAATGCGAGGGCACACACATCAAGAATCATACACGATTGCATTTCAGAAGTCGGATTTCGGCTTATGGAATGGCCAGCATGCAGTCCAGACTTAAACCTGATAGAACATTTATGGGATGAGCTAAAACGAAGAATTCGTGCCAGACGAAGAGCCCCAACTTCTATCCCAGAGCTCATTGTTGCAGTAGAGGTAGAGTGGCTTAACATCCCGCAAGAAACAATATCAAATTTGATCGAATCTATGCCAAATCGTATGAGAGATGTTGTTAGAGCAAGAGGGGGTCATACCCATTATTGAAATTTTAATTTAGTTAATAGTCCATAAATAAATAAATAAATAATAGCATACCTCTTAGTAATAAAGAACGTTAATTTGTTTCATACATAAATTTATTAATTTTAATCCAAAGAAACCAAAATACAAATTAATATCTCTTAACTCTTTTCAAAGAATATGAAATTGTATTTCAAACAGCATATATTTTTTCTTAATCTGACAAATAGATTCTAAAAAATATATAGTTAACTTCAAAAGTTTGCCTTGGGCCGATTTCTATGCACGCAAGTGTATATATATATATGTGCGAAGAACCCAAGCAGCATTTGGACGTCGGGACAACGTTGTGTCACGCGACCAAACGTCGGGGCGCAACGTCGGCACAACCTCGTGCCAATCCTAGTCTGTACTAGTTTGGAGAATAATTTTTGGGTCGAAACGACGTTGGATACCGACGTTGGCTAGAAGCCTAATTTAGTACAATCTGCAACGTTGTTTAAAATCCTAATTCACAGAAATACAAAACTAATATGGCGTCTAAGTCGCGTTTTATCCTAAATTGGGATAATTATAGTAAAAATATTATTTTCCCCCTCGCTAAACATTTCTATTGGATTTCCTGCATCCCGTATATATCTTTTTGGAACTCGAAGACGATTTTCTTCTTCCACATGGTCCAAAATATCCTCAAACTCTTCTAACATATTCAAAACTGTTTAATCAGACAAAACGGATTTACAAGCATATTTACAAGGGATTTACTTTGTTTACAAAAAATTTGGGTTAAGAAACTATGAAACTATCCACAGATCACATAAACTATCCAAAATGACAATCTCCAAAATGAAAATCGCAATCTCCAAAATGACGTTTGCTCGTGTATTCTGTGGATTCCGCTCTCAAGAGCCCAAGACCGTCTTGGCGTCTCGAGACTCGAGATGCAACTATAAATACGGGCCGTAGATTTTGAAGAAAAACTACACGTAGTTAATCAGGTTAATTACGTCTTAATTAACTACTTCCGAACCCTGCCGATAACTCTCTATCTGACATCTTGACATATTTGATGTTTCTTTCATTTTCTTTCTATGGTGTATGGTTTCTTTCAAGTTTCTTTTCACTCTGTGGTTCTTTTAAAGTTTGTGTTTGTTCGCAGAAGGTTCGCTTCAGGTAGTGGTTTTTTGAATTGATATATTTCTATAAAAATAGTGGTCATCTTTTTAATTTTAGCTACAGTATTATTCAATAAGGTTCTTTTAAGTAGTTTTAGTAATTTTTTTCTTAATATTTTTAGATAGAACTTCAGGAAAATGTCTGACGCCGAAGGGTAAGTTTTTAACCTCAAACTTCATGTAGTTAGTTTTCAAACTAGAACCATAACATGGATTTAAAAATCTAGGGGATATTGAAAGCATTGTGGCACAAGAGAAAATTCTTGATTTACTCTAGAAATTGAGAGTCTACTGGTTAACTTTGGTGGTCCTCAGATAAATGTTATCCTTTTTTAACATGAAAACAACTGATTATTTTGGGACCTGCAAAGTAAACACGTGTTAACTCGAGGATGTTTTTAGAGAGGAAATCCCCACTCAGGCCCCAGCAACTGGGGGAGCAATGGACGTCAACCAAGCCCTACAACAAGTCCTTAAAAATGCCCTAATTCATGATGGAGTTGTTCACGGACTTCACGAGTCTGCCAAAGCTCTAGACAAGAGACAGGCTGTTTTATGTATTTTGGCGGAGAATTGTGATGAACCAAGGTAAAAATTTTAATAATTTTGATTTTTGAGGTTGTTTATTAATATTTTTTTTGCTTTAGGTATAAACAGTTAGTACAGGCACTTTGTGCCGAACATCAAATTGATTTAATCAAGGTTGATAACAATAAAAAACTAGGAGAATGGTCAGGTTTGTGTAAAATTGACAACACAGGAAAGGCAAGGAAAGTTGTTGGAAGTTCATGTGTAGTGATTAAGGTAATATAATAATTTTGATATGGCTTAAAAGTTTTTAATTATGTTAATTTAATTCTAGGACTATGGTGAGGAATCCCTTGCGTTGGATGTCCTTAGAGGATACCTAAAGAATGCCGCATAATATGTTATCTAATTTTTTAATATAATAAAATGTATACAAATAATGATGTTGTTTTACTCAGTTCTTTATTATATTTTATTTTTTTTTGTTATCATGTACCTGTTAGTGATGTGTAAATGCAAGACTAGACACCACTGGTCTTGTCTTGCAGTCTAATAAGTAGAACAATTTGTGTAAAGTAGGTAGTAACAAAGTAGTGCACTTTTTTATTAAATTTTTACTAGAGGCGGTACCCTAGAGGCAATTTCTGCATAAACAATCTTTAAATAGCTTTTCAAGTAATTTAATGCAAATCAAACTTTCAGGAAAGGAACAATATTGGACAAAATTTTTAATCTTTCAAAATACAAGGTGGGTCTTATAAGAGCAGATCTTTTTAGGGGCGGTATTTAGACCGCAGAAACACGTCTTAAGTTTTTCTGGATTTTTTAAAATCTATTTAAACATCCATATACAGGGCGTCCCAATAAGTTCATTGGGCACAATTTACTTCTATACAAAAGTGGCTCACCCTTATAACTTTTATATTTTTTCATATAAAAAAACGAGATTTGTATATGCCATAAATCATTGACATTCAATTGTTTTTGGTCACTTCCTGTTTCACCGGAAATGACTACAACTTTTGATTTTTAAATGGCACCCCCGGTATTTTTTTACTTTATTCGATAGAAAATGTCACTCTGAATAGAACGACATAGTAGCTTCACAAAATAGAAATCAACTACTTTTTAGTTGATTTTGTTCCGTTGTGATTTAGTGTAATTTTATTTTGCTGTGTAACACCCTTGATTATAAACAAGGGTAACACCAAAGGTTCCAACCCTCAACTGTAATCTTCGATGGCTTCACGGTCAACGGAACTGAATCTTTACCGTAAGTTTAGTACTAAGATTAGGTTATTAGGAGCAGATATTTGGTTTCTTAAATTATGCAAAGCCAATTCAGTTTATCCTAGTTTTATTAAAGTTGATATTCCAAAAAGTAACGTTAGTGATAAATTGCATGGTAGAGAAAATTGCAAAACAAAAATGGCTTGATTTAGAAATCAAATTTCTGTATAGTAAACGAAGTATGCTTGAAATTGAAGCCTATGGACTTTACAAAAAACTTACTTATAAGCTAACTAATGTAGAGTATGAATGTTGGTGTTTCTTTCAGAGAAATATGTTTGTGGTTATCAATTCAAAATTTGTTAAGAAAATGTCCATTTTGAATAATAAGTTTAAAAAATTAAAAAGCTCTAAAAACAAACATGTTTTCCAAAGAGACATAAACATAGTAGAGAATCTTTCTTCGCAGACTTTTGATAAACAAGAGCTCAGTTTATTAAACAAAGGTTTAAAGTTTGCATTGCCCAACTCTGGTAGCGCTTTGGAGGAAATCGTCGTTGGTGTTGAAACTGCTATTCAGCACTTGCCCGAGGCTTCTAAAGTATTTACAAGAGAGGCTTGTAGAAATCAGTTATCAAAAAATATCGTTTCAAGTAAATCATTAAAATCTAACAAGGAGCACAATATTGTCAAGGGTTTGCGTAACAAAGATTGTTTCTACGTAAAAGCTGATAAGGGAAATAAGGTTGTTATATTAGATAAAAAAGACTATTACGATAAGGTTAACAACTTAATCGATAATGGCCCCTACATAAATTTGAAAAAGAATCCTTTGTCGAAGATGGTAGCAGACGTTAAAAAAACTCTAAAAGAATGTAACACCCTTATTGATCTTTCTTTAAAGAGGAAATTGCAAGTATCCAATCCCTCATTACCAAAATTGTATGCTTTGCCAAAAATTCATAAACCGGACAAGTCTATGCGCCCAATTGTTTCGGCTATAGGTTCTCCGACTTATAATTTGGCAAAATGGTTATCAAGGGAGTTCGAAAATTTACCTAATCATGAACCTTCTTTCTCAGTTAAAAATAATATTGAATTCATTAACAAAATTAAAGATATAACATTGCACGAAGGTGAAATTTTGGTCTCCTTTGATGTATCTTCGTTGTTCCCAAGTGTTCCAATTCCACATACTTTAGGCTACTTGAAGGAATTACTGAACGCAAATGATCTCGACAACAAAACTGTGATTGAATATATTGAGCTTACATCGTTATGTATGAAACAAAATTGTTTTCAATTTAATAACAACTTTTTTGAACAGCGGGAAGGTACAGCAATGGGTAATCCATTGTCTCCATTTTTGGCTAATTTATTCATGAGCAGGTTTGAAGTGGAGGCTAAGAATCAGTTTGAGTATTTTCCAAGAGTATGGTTTAGGTATGTGGATGATATTTTTGCTGTTTTTGACACACATTCAGATACCATAGATAATTTTATTTCTAAGTTAAATAATCGTTTTCCTTCCATTAAATTTACGCATGAAATTGAGAACAACGACAGATTACCATTTCTAGATGTATTAGTTATTAGAAATACTAATAATTGCCTGGAATTTGATATCTATAGGAAAAATACCACCACACGCAGATATATTCCTAATGAATCACATCATAGTGTTGAACATAAAATGGCTAGTTTAAATTTCTTAGTTCATAGGTTACTTAGTTTCCCACTTTCCAACGAAAGATATGAAATAGAAAGAGATTACATTAGGAATGTAGCTCAGTGTAATGGATATTCTCCTTCACTAGTTGATAAATTAATTAGAAAACGTAGGTATAGGTTAATGATTTCTGAAAATTCGACTTTTCAAGTGGAGAAAGATACGTCTAAATATTTTTTAATACCGTTTGATAGAGAGTTATCCCGTGGTCTAAAAGGAATTTGTAAGAATGTCAATTATAAACTTGTGTATAGTGCTAATAATAAATTACAACAATTATTAGGTAATCCAAAGGATAAAACACCTCCACTGGAAAGGTCAGGTATTTATGAAATTTCTTGTAAAGATTGTAATCAGAAATATGTTGGGCAAACTAGAAGATCAATATTAACTAGATTTAAAGAACATTTAGCTCAGATAAGATATGGTAGACCGGATAAATCTTGCGTTGCCGAACATATTGTTGATAAAGAACATTGTATAGATCTTAATAATTTAAAATTAATTAAACAAGTCTCAAATTACAGGCAATTAGATGCATATGAAAGCATCAGAATTAATAAATGTAAAGATAGTATGAACAGAGTCAACGGTCCAATTCCTTCAAGTTCTTTGTTCCTACTACTCTAGTGGCGGAAATTAACTGTTACGCTCAGTGGGCTCTGACTCGGTTGGCTAGATTTGGCCACGCCCACTCGGTACCTACTGGGCGAGTATATAAACGCTCAACTTGTAGATTGTACTTTAGTTTATAATCATCTGCTGATGATGCTAACATGGTTAGCGAAACGCGCGTCCAGTGTAAAAGTAAATGTGTTTTGGTGTATTGTGGTGATTTAGTGTAATTTTATTTTGCTGAGGTCCCGTCCAGTTTAGCCATTGCAGCAGAAAGGAGGCGTTAACTTGAACCTCACATACATTACCATAGCGCCTTTTGATTTTTAGGAGTTTTCTAGGAAAAATTCAATCATATTTTCATGCTTTTTGTAATTTCCTCTAACACGGTATGGAAATTTAAAAAAGTATAAACGGGATTGACCATTTTAGAACAAGCAAAAATTTTCATGTAGAATGCATTTTTCTCAAAATGTCAATAATAAAAAAGTGTGTTTTCTTGTAAAGACAATCCGGGGACACACTGTGTATAATATTTAATAATTAATAAAATGTATTACATATGTAACATGGAAAGAAAACAAGTATAAATAATTACAAAAAGTTGGAAATTATTAGTACATCTTATGTATGAAATAAAACAAATTTCTTCTTGGAAGTGTACCTTTATTTAAGTATATTTTTTTTATTTAGAAACATTAATATGGCACTCTAGATGATTACACACCTATTTAACTTAAGAAACATGCCATTCCTCGTCTAAAATAGAAATATTACACTTCAGAATCTGGAAGTATACAGAAACGATTATGTAGTGCCATAACAAATAATTTTCCAAACGTATTACCATCGCAGAATACAGTGATGATAATACGTCCGTATTCCACATTACCATAATAAAAAAAGATTATATCAAATATTTCCTATAAAGTATTTATTCTTATTATCTAAGAGTGTTTCCATGAGTATTATTGAAATTCTCTCAAAAAAAACATTTACTTATAACACCTACAAGAACGTTAAAACTATGGTACAATAAACTTTTTAAAAAAAGAAATGTTAGGAATGAATGAGTAATTATAAAATCGCTATTATTTCCCATAAAAAATGCTTTTTAATTTCAGGACATTCAGAAAAACATACTTTTCTGATTCGTTAATCGACTCTTAAAGTAATATCACCAACCATTTTTATTCTTTTTGAATCTTGTTACGTTTAAGTATACAGAGGTTCTAAATCTATTTTCCTTTATTAAAACTTTTTTAGAATCTTTGATTTAGATAAAAATTGCATATTTTGCGTAAAGAATATTTTCAGATGCACCTTTTTTTTAAAAATATTTTCACTTCCTGGTATTTTCGGTTAAACCGGAAATACCAGGAACGTGTTTAGAGATTCAATACACAAAATGTGTTTATTCATGTTGATGACAAAAAGCGCAGAATTTAGAGGAACTACTATTTAAATATCCAAATAAGGCCATTTTCGGTTAAACCGGAAGGGCAAAAAAAAAAGAAAATATTTTAAAGAGAAAATAGGTACATCCGGAAATTTTCTTGACATAAAGAATTCAATTTTGTATCTAAAATAGATCTTGAAAAAACCATAATGGATGGTATGAAAAACCCTGTATAAGCTATTTCTTACAAACATTTATTAACTAAAATTGCCAAATTTAAATTTTGCACACGATCACAGTGTTTCGTTTTTAAAGAAACTAATTTTGAAAATTCCTTAATCTACCTATCACAACACAAGATAAATCAAAATGATAATACTTCTTCCTTTTTTAATAATTCTGGCTTTTCTAAGCTTCAACAGTCTTATTAATGCAGTGTCTATATTATCATTTATTAAAAAAATTAAAACAAAAAACAAAGAAGCGTTATAAATTAAGACAACCAACTATATAAGAAAAAAATAGTTTTACATCCTGGCGTCTAGATGGTGCAATAAAAAGTTTCATATTTGTGGAGCGCGATTCGAGTTTTTGAGAGGTTGGTTTTCTTAACTCTGATCTAATATAAAAATCAAACGAAAAACAGAAACCATATTGATCAGGGAGCACCTAATGCTTAGACTCAATACATATTAGTAAAATTATTAAACTAAGCACATATATCCCTCACAATTGGTATAAATTCTACTTTTTCTAAGTCTACGTATCTATTAAATCCATGATCTGTGTTCTTTATGGATCTATTAAAGATTTATTTAACTACTATATTTGTACTATAATTTGTACTCTGGCAAATAATACCGTGTTTGTACTAATTGCTTTTTAGAAAATCAGTCAGTCTTTTCGGATTAGCTACTCGTATTTGGATTGTATATGAATATGTATTTGTATATAGAGAGCATCAAATTTCAGTCTTTCAGCGTTATATCCATAATAGAACATAAAACTTATACATTACTAAAGAAAATTAATATATTATTATAAAAAAGTTTATAGGAACTATACAAAAATCAACAGACTTGCAGTCTTCAGGAAGGATTATTTTCCAAAAAAGAATAGTTAAAAAAATGAGAAATGTCATATATACAGGATGGATATAGAAATAAATGTACATGTAAAAAATCATCCCGTATATCTAATGGTACATTTCCTAAATAATTAAACTATATTAAATAATTTCAAAAAGCTCAAAAACAAATAGTCATATAATGGATAATTATATATATTTTTAAAATATTTCTTTCTTTCAACGTATACTTTTATGTAGATAGTTTTCAAATGTCTTTAAAAACATATTAAAAAAAACATTAAACAAAGAGACCAAAATAAAAAATTAAATATAAAAGATATATTTGTGTGAGCAAAAATGGCATAAAATATTGCAAATTCAATCGAACTATAGCTAAGCTATATATTTAAACAAACAAATACACAGAAAATTTCTGAATATTTATATAGATATCCAGTTATAACTGGCCAAAACCTCAAATATGCCTTTCCGTTCAACCGAACGAAGTATTTGCTTAACTAAAGTTTTATTTTTGTCAAAAATCTTGGTGACAGTCGTTTAAAGACTCGCTGTGTGTATAAATCTGATCAAAAGGCACTTTCGGGGTGAGATTTCGAGGTTAAAATTTCTGTAACCTGTGGTTATCTGAGTCTACTATGTAGATGTGTCCTTTTTGGTCCAAGCACACGTCGCTGGGCCTGTCGAAATGGCCTGGGTCGGATTTGCCTTGTTTTCCCACTGTCCATAGGAATTCACCGTTTTCATTGAAGACCTTAAATAAGAAGAGAAATAATTATTTATAGGGTCTAAAAAGTCATGATTTTATCATGAAGAGGAAAGGAAATACAGGGTGGCGCCTCTCATACGCCGCGGAAGCCCCAAGGAGAACGGTAGTATGTAGTATATCGAAATAAAATTTTGGCAGCATATGTAGGTTAACGGAAAACATTTTATAAAAATATATAGAATTATACAGGGCGTCCCCAAAAAAAGTTACACATGAAAGTTGTGTTTTTTCTTATGGAACACCCTATATATTAATTGGTTTTCGGATTCTGGGAGAAAAATAAAGGAGAGTTTTATTAATGAATCATATAACTAAAATCTAAGGATTTTGACATATTTCACATTTTGTGAAAATGAAGAGTAAATTTTAAATTTCGATAATAGCTACCTAAGTTTTAGTTGGCCTTGTATAGCCTGATAGTTAATTACAGTAACCACTGTATGTTAAACCAAATTGAAATTTGACCCGAAAAGTTATACAAGTTATACAAATTAATATGGAACATTAGTCACTTTTAAAAGCATGTTACTCCTTTATTTTAAATGGAACACCCAGTATATTTTTCCGGTGTTCAATGGGGAATTTATACATCTTCAAAATATTATTAAGGTTGCCTACCCCACAGACAAAGATTTTCCTAGATATTTTAATTTTTATGATTTTGCGTCAGTAGATCTTTATTATTTGAAAAAATCTAGGGTGGCTGGTGTGATATATCTTTGGTTAATTTAACAAAAATTAAAGATTGTAGAGTAAAATACCCAACGATAATAAAAATATACAGGTTTAAAACATATTTTAATTATTACTGAATTAAAACTAGATGTAAACCTATAATTATGTGACAAAAATTAGCTAGATGAAATTAAATGCTCAAAATGCTTCCTTTCCTTTTAACTGCATAAAATGATTGTATTTTCAAAAGGATCTTTTCATTTTAAAAGGCATATGTGGGGTTGTACCTCGAAAAGCAGCTGCAATAATTTCTCTCATGTTGTCGACAATAGTTGGTTGAGTTTTGTAAACACTGTCTTTAACATATCCCCATAAAAAACAGACTAGATAAAATCAGGAGCATTTAAGTAGTTCTATTAATTGGCGAATGCACACTGCATTCACCAATTAATAGAATCATATCAATTCTTTCTGATGTAGGATAAGTTTGCATTTTCGGCAAATTTCTGAGAATTTTTTTTGTTTTAACTGACAAAATGATAACTAGTTGTTAAAGTTGGACTAATTAGACAGCTATGTTGAAGTAACGTCAGATACATCACAGCCACCTAGATTTTATCCAATAATAAAGATCTACTCAGATCAAATCATGTAAATGAAAATATCTAGGAAAATATTTGGTTGAGGGGTAGGCAGTCTTAATAGAATTTTGAAGAGACATGAATTCTCCATTGAATATCGGAATAATATACTGGGTGTTCCATTTAAAACAAAAGAGTAACATGCTTTTAAAGGTGACCAATGTTCAATATTAATTTTGTCTCACCATGTATAACATTTTGGATCAAGTTTTAATTTGATTTAAAGTACAATAGTTAGTTTAACTACATATTAGGCTATATCGGGTAAATTCCAACTTATGTAGTTTTTATTGTAATTTAAAAATTGTTCTTTATTTCTAGAAAATGTTAAATATATCAAAAACCTTACATTTTAGTCATATACTTCTCTTATAAAACTCACCTTTATTTTTCTCCCAGAATCCGAAAATCAATTAATATATAGGGTGTTCCATTAGAAAAAACACAACTTTCATAAAGCGTAACGGCTTAGCTACGTTGAAACGCCGGTTCCCATTAAAACACCGAAGTTAAGCGACGTAAGGCGATACTGGTGGATGGACGGGTGACCGGTTCGAAACACTGTATTGTGCTGTTGTTCAACGGAAAAGTGTAAAATGTATTGATACACACTGCTTATTCACGCCGGTTCGAGGCCGTATGAGATCGGATATCTCGTGAGTAAGAGTTGATTTAGACACTTCCTAAGTCGGTAGGCCTTTGACCATGATATGGCCGAGGACCGCGGTTCGGATTCCGCGTAAACAAAGTAGGCCCCGTCCAGATTAGCCCTGGGGCGCTATTCTGTAAAATCGTCGGTATCGGTAAGTTACGACAGCTCTCGATACGTATTTGTATATAGTAAAAAGGTGTTAATTGTTGTTGTCATAGTTACCGATCGGTCCTATAGCAGATATCGCAAATTTGTACCGGTGAAAATCGGTATCTCTACCGTGCCCTTGTTAACCTCACGGTAGAGATACCGAGAGTCGTCGGTACAAATTTCCGATATCTGCCATAGTGCCGATCGGTAACTATGACAACAACAATCAACACGACGCTCATTGGCCGTACGTACCGATAGCTGTCGGTAACTTACCGATACCGACGATTGTACAGAATAGCGCCCCTGGCAGCAAAAAGGAGACGTTAACTGAAATCTTTACTTTACTTTACAACTTTCATATGTACCTTTTTTGGGGGACACATTGTAGAACTCTATATTTTTAAAAAGTGCTCTGAATTAACCTACATAATATGCTCACAAAATTTCAATACAAACTGTTGTTCTCCTTGGAGCCTCCCCGGCGTATGAGAGAAACCACCCTGTACAGGGCAGCGTGATTATAACCACCTTATAACGTCCAACTTACTTGATAGCGGTAATTTTTTGAATCCACCACTACGAACCATCCCCTATCATCGCAACACAACCCTTGCGGCCTAGAAAACTGCCCCATGTCTTTTCCCTCCTTTCCAATCGATCTGATTCTACCCGTCGTCCTCTCGATTAGTATCACCTTGTGCAAGTTGAAATCGGTCACCATAATGTTGCCTCTGGGGTCAAAGGTTACGCCCCTGGGCGAGTCGAACAGTCTGGGCACATTAGGTTCCCTTTCCCCACCCCACTTGGCCACGAAGATGCCGTTGGAGTTGAACAGTTGGACTCTGTGGTTGCGGGTGTCCGACACTATAATGTAGCCGAAAGAGTCCACCGCTACGTCCCACGGGAACTTGAACTGGCCTAGCTGGTCACCTGCAATCAGAAATCACATACTGTTATCAGAGCTGCAACAAGTCAGTTTCAAAAAGACTTAAAAGAAATAATTTCTTTCAAGTCAAGTCATTTTCGTAAAGATTAAATCAATATAATATAATTATAGTTGTTAGTTGTATATAGCGGTTGCCATATTGTTGAAATTTCCATACTTGGATTCACTCATAAAACGCTCCAATGGAGGTGTTCTTAGTGGAAATGCTCCTCATGCTTGACGGCACCCAACAAATCCACGGGTAAATGCTCGGCTCTAGTATATAAGCTCAGTAGTTTTAGGATTTAGTTTAGTTCACACTTGATAACGGTCAGTGATATTCTTCTCTTCTGACCGAAACGTTGTGTAAGCAAAATAAATCAAAAAAAAGTCCGAAACTCCTTGTTTTAATTTAAATCCCGGCACCCCGGTAGTTACGCCAATGGGCATTTCCTCAAGTTCTGTTTTAAAATTAATTTATTTGTGTTAATGTTAAGGACAACGTCAGAGAGAATATTCAAAGTATGAACCAATCGTTATTGTTGGTTCATACTTGAACTAAGGTTAGACTAATGCAAAGACCGCCGCGGTATTTCAACCAAGAATATTCGTTTACGTTGATTAATTATCTTGAGATTAGGACTAGTGCTAGGGTTAAGCTTGGAGGTATGAACCAGCCCTTAAAATTTAACTACACATCTTTCGGGCTTCGTTCTAAATAAATTTTAAAACAAAAAAGAGAAGAAATTCTTAGTTCTCACCTTCCGATCCAAATGTAAAAAGGAATTCTCCATGTCTGCTGAACACTTGAATTCTGTGGTTGTCTTTGTCGGCCACCACAATTTCATCGTGAGGACCCACCGCAACTCCAGCACATTTATGAAACTGGCCCTCGGCACCACCTTGCGTCCCAAATTCGAATACAAATTTTCCCACAGTATCGAAAACCTAGCAAAAAAAACATTTTATTTAAAAAATATCCACGTATTTTAAGCATAGTATTTCAGCTACAGTTTATTCAACGCCTAGATTCATCAAGCGCAAAAAATACATGGGCCATGTACAGGGTGTTCCATTTTGGTTGAAGTCATACGTTTTTTTCCGGTTGTCTTGTCTACTTTTTGGCTTAGGTTTATCAGGGGAGATCAATAAGTAAGATTTGTCTGACAACTTCAAATCTGTTTTAGAGTTTAATCTTGTCTTTTGTAGTACTGATTATGCCGAATTTCAATGTTTTTGCAGATTAATGTACCGTTGGTTCTTTTTTTGAACTTATAGACTGACATAAACTTATTTCATCTTGGTTGTATAACGCAATTACGATGTTCCATATTATACTAACGTTCTTGTTATTTTATTTTTATTATTCTATCTTGATATAAATATCAATATTCATTTGTAATTTGTATTGTTATACTATTATATTATTCTAATTAATATTACCTGATATTATTAGGATTTCCTAAAGATGATCGCCAAATAATTTATATCACTATCAGTGGCGGCTTAACCATGAGGACAAATGGTCAATGCACCCCCCCAAAAAATCGGGAGAAAATTAGAAAAACTTATTTAAATTATACTTTTTGTAAATCACTTTTTTTCATCCTAAAATATTCAAAACTATTCAGTTTACTACGTATAGAAAATATAATGGGGGGTTAAGGTGCGATAGATATACAGGGTTGTTCACCACATACGACACGGAGTATTGTAGCTAAACGATGTGATTTTTACAAATTGTAAGTTTGGGGTTCGTTGAAGGACTATTAGAGCTACAATTTAAAAATATTTTTACAAGATACAGAGTGTCCCAAATAAATAAAAAATATCAAAGTTGTATTTTTTTAAATGGAACACCCTGTATATTATTACATTTTTAGTTTCTACGATTAAAATAAAGGTAAATTTGATTAAGATTTATTATACTTAAACCTTACCACACCTTACCGTTTTTGAAATATTTTCAATTTTGTGAAATTGCAGTAAAAATGTTAAAGCTTTATTTCTCCAAGGGTATCAATGTTTTTAATACTAAATATTTAATGAAGTTTATTTATTGATCAGTTATTGTGTTGCAATAATAAAAATAATACTACCTTATACAGAGTGTCTAAAAATTTATTTTAAATAATTATTAGCTTCAAACGGCAATAACTTCTTTAATTTAAATAGAATGCCCTGTATATTTTAGGAGAATCAGATGCATAATTAAATTGCCTATCAAATTGTATTATACCATTTTTTACCTATCCCTTCAAGTTTTCGTAGAAAATGCATTTTCTTATAATTTAGACCTCATTTATCAATATATCCATTGAATATTGACATTTTAGATTGTTTTTAAAGCAACAAATGTACAAAATGTACAGACTAGTAATATTATCGTTTTTAGCAAAACGATAATATTACTAGCCCATTTGTATGCAAAAAGAAAACTATTTAAATCTTTATAAATAGTATACCATTAATTAAATATAACACCATTATTTCCGCCCATATACTAATTAATTACATACTTAATTGTGTTCGTTAATAAATTATTATAAATAAATGTGGATTTGAGTCAGAAATCAATATAATAATAAGTTATCAAATTAAAGTCTCTGTTGTTATAAATAACCATTTATTAAAAAATGAAATATCATTTTAAGGTGTTACTTTTTTATCACACTGTCTAATGCCCATACAAAATTCAGTTTTTTAGTATTTGGAGCAATTATTATTAATCAACGCAAACAGTCAGTTAATGTAGTTTGAATACTGGAATCATATTAATTGGTCCTCTTTAACAAATATTTAAACAGTTTTTTTTAATTTTTTAATGAAATAATATACGAATTATATCGGCAATATTAGTATCTGTACTCTTTAAAAATTTGATACATCTTTAAAAATAATCTAAAATGTCAATAGTCCACGGCTATATTGATAAATAAGTTCTAAATTACAAGAAAATGCATTTTCTACGGAAACTTAAAGAGATAGGTAAAAAATGGTATAATATAATTTGATAGACAATTAAATTGTGCATCTGATTCTCGTAAAATATACAGGGTGTTCCATTTAAATTAAACAAGTTATTGCCGTTTGAAGCTAATAATTATTTAAAATAAATGTTTAGACACTCTGTATAAGGTAGTATTATTTTTATTATTGCAACACAATAACTGATCAGTAAATAAACTTCAGTAAATATTTAGTATTAAAAACTTTGATACCCTTGGAGAAATGAAGCCTTAAAATTTTTACTGCAATTTCACAAAATTGAAAATATTTCAAAGTAAGGTTTAAGTATAATAAATCTTAATCAAATTTACCTTTATTTTAATCGTAGAAACTAAAAATGTAATAATATACAGGGTGTTCCATTTAAAAAAATACAACTTTGATATTTTTTACTTATTTGGGACACTCTGTATCTTGTAAAATTATTTTTAAATTGTACCTCTAATAGTCCTTCATCGAACCCAAAACTTACAATTTGTAAAAATCTCATCGTTTAGCTACAATACTCCGTGTCGTATGTGGTGAACAACCCTGTAGTTTATATTGGCCATTGACCGCGTCATTCATAAAAAGATTTCTAAGGTAGGCAACTTTATATACACTTGTATTTGGTAGTTTCAAAAATCTATGGGTAGTTTGCTGACAAACTATATAAAAAGTGGCGGTTTTTGTCTTTGTCTAGAAACCCCAGCGTCTTATTATTGTAATTTGTAATATTGTCTATTAGTTGAGAATCCATATAGTTGATTAAGAAATATAGAGTGCATTATTTCTATATAAATATATTACAGGATTTCAGTCATATCGCTGGAAAAATTTCGCCGTTTGGGCATTTATAACTATAACTGTTTGACCTCCGCCTATAACTCTTTAACCCGTCAGACATGGTTAGAATTTCTGACACGTTTATCCCTATTTTCCCTACCTTCATTCTCTGATGTAGCTTCTCTTTTATTTAGAATAGTGCAATTTGGTGTTGAATAAACTATAAACAGATATCCTGGTCGGAATTGTTGACCCAAAATTCTTATTATGAAATTCATGTCACATTAGGGCAGATAATTACTTGAATTCTATTATTGCTTCTGTCTGCTACTATAACCTCTCCATATCGATTACAAGTGATGCCCCATGGTCTGCATAATTCTCCTTGGCCCATACCGGAGTTTGACCACATTTTAGTGGGGATACTCCCAAAATGAATGACTGTTACCATCTCGGGGCAGTTGAACACTGGTCTACATCTTAACATGGATAATTGTAAGGGATTCCCATAGGTCGCTAAAAAATCCAGATTTTATAACCCTGGTTGAAAAAATTCATACAGTGTCATAGGTAAAGTCCGCATCACACTGAATTTTTTTTATTGACTTAGGTGAAATTTAACTTTGGCAGTAGTCTCTGTTTTGATATAGATTAAAATTGAAGAAAATGTAGCATGTTGCTTTCGGGTATCTGTCAAATTTGACATATTATGAAGTAAAAAATGTCTAAAAAATATAGAAATATAGATTTATCTTTTAATTTTACATAAGTATAGGTACCACTTTTCAACCATCTAGATGAAAAATAAAATTTCCTCATTTTTAACCAATAGAAGCAGTTTTTTGTGGTAGAAACAAAAATATTTTATGGTAGTCCGTTTATTAGTCAAATTGTTATTTTTAAAGGTCATATAAGGATGTCCCACTTAAGATGGATACAAGCCAATATCTTGATTGTTTGTTGAGCTGTTGAGCAATCTTTTTCATTTTTGGCAGGAGGCTGTATGGCTATAAGACCTACATTTTGCCCAGGGTAAGAAATGAGATGCCTCATAGACGTACGTTTTAATGGGGTTTGATATTTTTCGAATCAAGAGTAAACTACTCTTAGGACAGTATTTATTACAAATCTGATAAATTATATTGAATCCTCCTTACCTAAGATACATAAGTTCTAATTTTTATAAATATTGATACAAGGTGTGTCATTAAAATAAGACATTTTTATTTTTATTATTATTTTTTTAAGTACTTACGACGCCACTGGATAAATAACTGGTTTATTATCCAATAACCAATTATCAATTAATAATCGATTTAAGTTTTCAGATAGCTTCCATAATAATTAAGATACGATACAAAAAAACTAAATATTTTCAATTTATTTTGTTTACTTTAAAAAATTGTTTTTTAAGTGTGCTAATACAAATAAAAATAATTTAAAAACCCAGTTTTCAATGGAATCTGAAATATGATCTTTATTCGTTTTATTGAGGAATATTTAAAAAAATCCAAATAGTTAGATATTTAAAACAATCACTATTTGAAAAATATGCTCTAAACAAAGTTTTTTTGTATCGTATCTTAATTATTATGGAAGCTATCTGAAAACTTAAATCGATTATTAATTGATAATTGGTTATAATTGGTTATTGATAATAAACCAGTTGTTTATCCAGTGGCGTCGTAAGTACTTAAAAAATAATAATAAAAATAAAAATGACTTATTTTAATAGCACACCCTGTATCAATATTTATCAAAATTATAACTTACGTATCTTGGGTAAGGAGGATTCAATATAATTTATCAGATTTGAAATAAATACTGTCCTAAGGTAGTTTACTCTTGAATCGAAAAATATCTAACCCCATTAAAACGTACGTCTATGAGGTATCGCATTTCTTACCCTGAGCAAAATGTACGTCTTATAGCCATACAGCCTCCTGCCAAAAATGAAAAATATCGCTCAACAAACAATCAAGATATTGGCTTGTATCCATCTTAAGTGGGACACCCTGTAGGTAGTCAGTTAATTTTTTTAATCAATTAATAGTTTTCACAGAAAAATAAATTTAGTTGTAAAACATTAAACTAAAGTGATGCAAACTAAAAGCCAGAATGTATTTTTCATAGCCTAGTTATATATTTTCTTGGTTAGACATTGCCCCTATAGTCTCTGATCAAATGAAAATTAAGGTATTTTAAAAAATTGTTTTAACTAATTTACTACTATAGTGGACCTGATTTTTAAAGAAAATATAAACTTAAATTAACTAATTAGAGACAAAAAATGAATAGGAATTATGTCATCTCGATATATGAAAGAAATACGCATAGTTTGTAGCACGGAACTCATTTTTTTTACAATAGAATTTAACTTTTCATAAAAAAAACTTTTTTTTAAAAAAAATTTTTTCAAAACATTTAACTCGATATACCGTATGATCGAAAAAAACTGCGTCAGCGATGGCTATGAAATGAAGATCGCTGTCATTTCATTTTTTATGTAAAATTATATGGGGAATGTCATTGATGTTCATTTCCAAGACAACTGGACGCCGTTTTTTATTATCTTATCATACGTTATGAGTACTAGATAAATATCTGACTAACAAACAAGCAACAAGCTCCCATCAGTTATGTTGTATATCACGAGGGCCGATTCTCGTTAAAAATTACGAAATTTAATTTTTCATCTAGATGGCTGAAAATTGGCATACTTATATAAAATTAAAAAAGAAATATCCTTTTCAAATAATGTTTTTCAAAATTCGACCGAAACCTATTTCTTAGACATTTATTACTTTCAATGTAAAATTTGACAGATACCCGAAAGTAATATCACAGATTAGGTATACTAGGTATATGTATACAGATAAAAATGTTGTCCTTAGTGGTACGAAAATTGTTTTTTATGACGATGAGCAAACGAGTAAAATTTCTTGTGCGCAAAAATAAACTCGCCTTTAAACAGCGTAATAATGGGAAAAATGATTATTCGAGTTTCAAGCGATTGCAATAACCGAGTGGTCGATCGAGCGAAATATCACTCGTATTTAAAAATACGGTTTTCACCCGTCGCTTGTTATAAGTACTCGTTAACGCCAAGCGCCAAGCAGTAAGTTGCGTGCGCAGTGATGAATGGTAAATAGCAAGCGGCGAGCGATTGGCTGGATCGCTTGATTTAGTTTATTTCAAAGAATTGTCGATGTAGGTCGTAAAATTTTGTCCCTCAGATACGCAACGGATAAATATATATACGGCGTCGTATAAATTTGCTACCTGCAATGTATGTAGAATATTCGCTCGGCTTTTTATCGAGTATGTCACATTAAAATCGGATTTCAATTTATTTCATTCTAGGATCGCTTGCGTTCGTCGCTTGGTACTCGCTACTTGCATCGCTCGTTCATAATCGAGCGATGTCGGTTATTTCAATAATCGAGTACTCGAGCGAATTTTCGCTCGAGTTATCCCATCACTAAATAACTGGGCCGGTCACGCGCTGTCGGCTGTGCACAATTTTAGAGGCCATAAGTGGGCGTGCTATGTGCGCAAACTAGTAACCTAATAGTGCGCGACACCGAAAATTGGAATTACGAAAAACAATGCTTTTGACGATAAGTTTATAATCTGTATAATCTGTGGTAATATACTAAATTCTCTTATGTCATTTTGAATCTAAACCTAAGCAGAGGCTATCGCCAAAGTCAATAAATAACAAAAAGTTACATATGCTGAAGACTCTATCTGTGACACTTTTAATATTAGAATATCAAAGAAATAAGTAATCATAGAGGCGCCCTAAATATATACAGGTTGTTAATTTGTTTATTACTCGCGGCAAGAGCTTTATGGTTTTTCAACCAGTTTTTTTTCAAAAAAACGGGCCGAGGTTGCCATATTTCTATGGCAACCTCGGCCCGCTCGTCGATAGACGACGAGATGGGACGAGTCGGCAGAAAGCCCTATAAGTGCATGCGTTCTCAATAGGTAGTGTTGCCATTCTGTTTCCCTATAAGTAACTGTCGAGTTAACAACCTGTATATACCGATTTGGTCATCGAAACTCTGCGGTCTGGACTTTAACGTGTAAGACAGTGATGTACACAGCTTAATGGAAAATCAAACGTATTAAAAAGAGATAAAAATTGGGTCGACACATTTCTTCTATGTGGTATTGCCGGATTTTGCATCAACATTTCAAACAGCACAAGTAGGCGTTTACGAAAAATGTTGCATCTAGGGTTGGAACTTTATTTTTCACTATTAGTTATTCATTTTACTACAACTATAATAGATTATATTTAGTGTAGATATATTATCATTTCAGTAGTATACATGAAAGTTTTTTAAAATAGCTTATATTTTGTTATACACATTTTCCTACAAACGTAAAAAACCGGCAACACTGTATGCCGGTTTTGATTTTCTCTCTCTGTCTGTCAACCGGTCATTTACAGTGCGTCTGTTGGATCTGTGTCTATGAAAGGAATGCGGACAAAAAACATTTAAATAAACAGCAATATATTTTATACGTCGACTTGACGAGTACGTCACCGCAAATCGCTCCGCCCACTCATTTTATTGGCTACTTGCAAATTTGTCGAATTTTTATTGATGGGACGCGTCGTCTAATTTTTTCGTTTCCCCTCTCACGGATACCCCGTAGCCACAGAACGGACAGACGTACTGTATATTATTCTCTGTCACTCGCATTAAAATCCAGACCACATCAATTGGATGACCAGCAGGATATATAGTTCGTATCAGATAAACTTTCAGTCACGTGATTAAGCTTGACCAGCACGGCGTTGCCCACTTTTACATATTTTCTTTTAATTAAAATATTTTAGGAAACAAAAATAAATTAATTGTGAATATATAAACAGTTATTATTTACATGTAACAGTATAGGTACTTAAGGAACATAAAGGACTATTAAAACCGCTTTTCCGTCAAAATATTCTAATAAAGTTGCGAAGAGTTTTTTACGGCCATTAAGCTGTTGCGGACTAGTGTGGACTCAGACTAACCTGACTAATATGCCCCGCCCGACAATCAGTGGAAAAATCTGGATACAGAGAACGGCGGCTAAAGCCTAGTTCATGCACTTGCGAATTGCGATTTACGAATTGCGAAATGCGATCTGTTTTCTTTCTGATTGGCCACCTTCAAGGAAGATCTTGAAAGCGACCAATTGCAAGGCAAAGGGAACGCATTTCGCAATTCGTAAATCGCATTTCGCAAGTGCATGAACTAGGCTTAAGAAAGTACGAGTAAAATCTAGACTGTCTGTTTCGCTCATATATAACCCGACGCCTGGGTCCTGAGGAGGACAGAAACAAACAGATTCGGTCGACGCCTACAATTGCCGCGTTAAATTCAAAATAAATTTCTTTTAGATAACTAGTTATAAATAAGTTTGTAAATACTTCTTTAAGTATTTTATCGTTATTGTTTTGTTACTTAGTGTAAAATAAATTGTGTTTAAATAAATTAGACTTTTTATCCACGGATCCGACGAAATACGTAACAAAGCTATCTTGTACACTTCGCACTAAAAGAGGTTCTAAAAAGAACAATGTTCGACTGAAAATCTGCTAGTAAACATTTTTAAGCTTAAAGTATCACAACACTATTTATTTAAACCAAAAACTCTAATACAAAACTAAAGTGTCAAAACGAATGACTATGTCAGGAAATAAATAAATAAATGTGGCAACTTGACATTTTTTACAGCAGAGCTACCACCTGAATCCCCAGCGGGAAATTTAAATTTCAGTTAGTCAGCCCGGCGACGAATATGTCCATGGTTTTAATGTCCAATGAATTTTTAAAATCGCGCCCCCGATTACGTAACTAAAAGTTTAAGTGGTATCAAATATATACAGGGTGTTCCAAAAAACATGTGCCATCTGTCGTGGGGAGATTCCTCACGTAAAAATAAGATTTATTTTTCATATCAACATAGGTCCGGTTCTGCTTTGTTTCGTAGCTACAGGGTGTTAAAGTCTTAATATTTTTTCGATTTATTATAATTTTCTTCCAAGTACTGTTAGCGTTTCGATTGAGTTTTTGAGGTTAAAAGTTACTATAAATTCGACATATTTTTTAAAGTTAAAAAAGTGTCGATATTCACCAGGGACGTGCATATGGGTTATCACTGGAATATTTTCCTAAAAAAAAACATGTACTCCACTGACTTTTTTTCTCTTGTTAACGAAATAGTGTAAGCAGTTTAATGCCGATTAAAAGTTGTCTCTTGATATTTTGTCGATTTCGGCCTTTTTGATAAGATAAACGTAATTTTATTAATTTGCCTTCGTCCAAGTCTAATCGCAACCTTTAAAAAAATTAATATCATTAATTTGCGAAAGTTTTAAATAAGTACTCATTGATTCCTTATCAAAAAATATAAAAAAAAGTTTCTATAAACATGGGTATGGAAACGCATAGTTACAGGATGTTAAAATTTAATAAATAAAACGCGCCGGGAGGCATGTATAGCCGCCCATACTAAAATATGTTAATATCTCGAAAACTGCGACTTTGACTGAAATTTTGTTGCAAATATTATTCCTAATCTTAATTTGAAAACCGCGTTTTGGTAGCCACTGTAATTTTGGAGTTACGATTTTTTTAAAATTTTTAACCCTCTCCCATATACCCCCTTACCAACCCCCACCCCCACCAAAAACTAATGGCCAGATTCTCGGATGCCACAGTATTTTTGTGCCAAATTTGGTTAAAATCGGTTCAGCGGTTTTTGAGTTGTCGTGTTACAGACGGCAGACAGACGGATGGACGGACGGACGGACGGACGGACGGACAGGCAGACAGACAGACAGACACCATGAAAATATTTTGTATTTAGGTCATTTATGACCCAAATAACTCATTTTGAGTGAAATTAAAAAAACTAGTTTTTTGTCGATCTTAATAGCCTACCATACCTGGTATGGTCGGCTAAAAATATGAAAAAAGTTCCTATAAACATGGGTATGGAAATGCATAATTTTAGAATTACAGGATGTTAAAACTTTTTCAAATTAGGATTTTTGTAATTATCTTAAATACCAATACCATTACCATACCAATGTTTTTTTAATAATTTTTAATAATAGTAATAATAAGTATTAATAATATTTTTTATTAATAAATTAGGTCAAATATATAATTTAAAAATTTTATTTTTATTTTAATTTTACCAACTTTTAATTGGCATTAAACGGCTTACACAATTTTGATATTGAAAGAAAAAAGTCAGTGGCGCACATGTTTTTTTTTTGGAAAATATTCCAGTGATAATCTATATGCACGTCCCTGATGAATTTATCGACACTTTTTTAGCATTAAAATATGTAGCACTTATAGTAACTTTTACCCTCAAAATTTCATTCGAATCACTAAAAGTACTTGGAAGAAAATTATAATAAATCGAAAGATTATTAAGACTTTAACACCCTGTAGTTACGAAACAAAGCAGAATCAGACCTATTTTGATATGAAAAATAAATCTTATTTTTATGTTAGGAATCCCCCCACGAGAGATGGCACATGTTTTCTGAAACACCCTGTATAACAAGGTGTCTCAGATTTTAATCGGGAAAATTTAATAAACGATAGAACTTGCAAAAATAAAACAAAAAGTTCATATGAACTTGTAAGATTTAAAGCTTCCTTTTCGAGATACAGGGTGTTAAAGTTACTTAAAAAAGAAAAAAAAATAAGATATTTGAAAAACTATTTAATCGATTTTGATATAACTTGACCCGTTTATAATAGGTATTTACTATGGGACTTAATTTGATGTAATTAGATTTAAGTTTAATGGCCAGGGGCGGCGGTGGGGCATCACTGTTAAATTATTTTAAAGGAAAAAATAGGCACGCCACTGCTTTTCTAGAAGTTTAATATTATTTTTGGATTTAGTAATTAAAAATATTATTTTTTGTCTCGTGACTTTTTTGTCTATCTTGCTTACTTCTTGCAAAAAGCACTCCAGGGTGGAGTGAATGAATGAATTTAATTTTTTTCGCAAGAAGTAAGCAAGATAGACAAAAAAGTCAGGAGACAAATAAATATTTTTAATTACTAAATCCAAAAATAATATTAAACTTCTAAAAAAGGAGTGGCGTCGCTATTTTTTCCTTTAAAATAATTTAACAGTGATGCCCCACCGCCGCCCATGGCCATTAAACTTAAATCTAATTACATCAAATTAAGTCCCATAGTAAGTATTATAAACGGGTCAAGTTATATCAAAATCGATTAAATAGTTTTTCAAATATCTTATTTTTTTTTTCTTTTTTTTTAAGTAACTTTAACACCCTGTATCTCCGGTATCTCGAAAAGGAAGCTTTAAATCTTACAAGTTGATATGAACTTTTTGTTTTATTTTTGCAAGTTCTATCGTCTATTAAATTTTCCCGATTAAAATCTGAGACACCCTGTATATACCGGATGGTGCATCGTTGTTGGAAACATAGGAAATCCGATGCAAATTTTGAACTGTCCAGATATTGGCTCCCCTATTGATTTTACAGCGTCACAAGTCAATATCAAAGGTAATTTAATTTTAATATTGAGGGGAAATTAACCGAAACATGCCAGACACACTGGTCTAAGCTATTTCCGCATAGTACCATTTTGTCATGCTCACACTTTTTCTTTATGTGTATAACAATAAATAAATTATTACTAATACTGAATATTAAAATTTTATTAAAATTATGTTACGTCTGGAAATGACGCTCTCCGCTGACAACTTAAGGTATGTCGGTTTTTGACTGGTGTTTGATTGTTACCTATTCAGTTTTAATTTAAAAATCGATTCAGTTTTTCTCAAATTACTCAAAATCGGCTAGTCCAAAATTGTTCAAATTTGACAGGTGTATTTACCATACATAAACCTTTAAAAAATCTATTTACAACTTCGCTGTAAAATCAATAGGGGAGCCAATGTTTGGACAGTTCAAAATTTGCATGGGATTTTCTATGTTTCCAACGACGATGCACCACCCGGTATATGAATAATACTGGTTTTTAGTTAATTGCAAAAGAACTTCTCTAGGTTTCCTTATTCCTCTAAAGTAATGTGATACGTACAGTCTTTTGAATGAAAAAAATTAGAATTCTTGTACGTTTTATGAATCGGCTCAAACGTGTTTACGACTCCACCACCAAGTTGACCATTGGGTAAGTATCCGTCATCTTCAAAAGGCCATGACAAGGTTGCTGAACACCTGTAAAAATTCTTCGCATGCATCATCTCCTTGAAGGCCTTGTAGTTTGCTATCATTAGCTCAAAAGGTGACGTAAATTTAGAATGATCAGCAATACTATCTCTTGCTTGAACTAATTTTGAGTAATAATGTTTAATATTATCCATTTGAGATGTGATTCCGGATATTTTAGTTTGTCGCGCATGTTCGATCCTGATCAAAACATCTCTGCTTTCTCTGCTATCCAATGTCAACGAACATTTCTGAAAAGAATGCTTGATATTGGCAACAGCTTGATGAGCTCTAGTATCAATTTCATCAAGGGTGTGTTGCAAATAGTCCAAGGATTGGCGCAAATGGAGAATTGTCTGTCTAATTTGGCCGACGATTTCGAACGATATCAGTTTAACATTTTGGACGGCTTCACTGATCTCAATAATATTGTGACCTAGAAGAAAATATGTTTTAGTACAATATACAGGGTGGTCCGAACTGTATTACTGTATTCCGGAAACTTCAGCAGCATATTCTGCAAATAAAAATAAGTAAAAAAGTTTATTTAAATGTATGTCCTAAAATGCTTAGTTTTGGAGATACAGGGTGTAGAAGTTTCATTTTTATTTCGATTTTTTTCCAAATAAGTTAAGAAGTAACGTCAATATTTGGATAAAAATTGGTGTCTGGGAGTTTTTTGACATGATAAATTGTCTAAACTAGTCCACCTACATGTGTTTTAACTGTGTTGAAGAGTAATAACTTTTCGCCCGTACCTCTATAAAACTACTGAGTAAAAAAATATACATTTACGACGCTTTTTACGTAAAAAAAGTCTCTTGTAAAAATCGCTACCAGCAACCCTTCTCAAGATATTTAGAACAGAAATAAGCAAACATGTCATTATTGACAAAAAATAAACCCGTTGCGCGTTGAGTCGATAGTTTTTTGACTGAAATAATAAATTAGGGAATTCTTTTTTTAAATTAATCATAAATTTTTCTGCGAAAAAATGATGATAAAACAGTTTCTGTTGAATTTTTGGTACAAAAACATTTTAAATTTATTAATTTAGTCTAATAACTATTTAGTCAACACGTTTAATTTATGTCAATGATGACAGGTATTGATAATTTCGATTCCAAATATCTCGAGAACCATTACTCATAGCGATTTTTACCAAGAGACCTTCTTTACGTAAAAAAAATGTAAATGTATATTTTTTTACTCAGTAGTTTTATACAGGTACGGAAGAAAAGTTATTACTCTTCAAACCAGTTAAAAAATATGTAGGTGGTGCCCTCTACAAGTAGAAGTCATATTGACAACAAAATCAAATTTATCATGTCATAAAACTTCCAGACGCCAATTTTCAACCAAATATTGACGTCATAAATTATTTGGAAAAAATCAAAATAAAAATGAAACTTCTACACCCTCTATCTCCGAAACTAAACATTTTAGGGGATACATTTATACGAACTTTTTTATTTATTTTTACCTGCAGAATATGCTGCCTAAGTTTCCGGAATACAGTTCGGACCTGTATACTCAGATATTTTATGTAAATATACTTACTAGAATGGTCTAGTTGTCTACACACTGGACAGGCAGGTAACATACAACTGGTACAAAAGAAAGCAAATGGTCTGTGATGACGCAAGCACGGGGGCCATCTTGACGTAAAACACATTGATAGGTTTGATCTAGCTATGAGGGGCAAAGCGCTAGCGCCATCCTCCGATACCCCCTGAAGAGAAACAGGAAAATAATCAATTGGCGCAGTCATTATTGGTAGTATAGTATTCGAAAAATTTGGATAAGCCATCGAAGAAGTACCGAAATCGAGTCCAACAGTTGAGGGAATTGAAGAACAAGTTGGAGGAGCAGAATATAAATTAGAAGACATAAAATTATTAGTTGAAAAGTCAGAAGAACACGTAACAGGCAAGGTTGGTCTTCTATAAGCCAATCCTGCAGCTGATTCACTTTCCGACGTGCGTTCGATCGGAGTTTGACCTCCTGAACTACATCTAAGGTTCTCCAAAGATGTGTTCGTCGAATTAGATGACATATTACCCGGTGAATGTCCCGAACTAAAAGAATATCTTCCTGTTCCCACCACTCGGGAACTGGCAGGATTTGAAGGTGTGTCACTCAAAACTTGTTGATCGTTAAAGTTTAGTTGCTCTAACTTTGTAACAGTCTCCAAAAGACCGATCGAATTGAAGTTATCAAAAGATTGCTGTTTATCCATGAGAGATTGTTGATGCCAAGCCCCCGACGATGCGTCTGAAACCGATGCCATAACTTTATTGTTGACTTTGTCCAAATAACTTATGTGATGTTTTTTGGTGTGATCTAAATCTGCATGGATCTGCACACACTGTTGGCAAAGGTAGTCGCTGCAGTCCATGCACTGGGCAATTGCAGAGTTACCTTGGCAACACGCGCAGTTTTTAATGAGTTGTACGCTGATTCCATTAAAGGAACTACCGGATTGTTCCGTTTTGTCAGTAGCTTCGTTGGTTAAGAAAATTTGATTGATTGAAGGTTGCAGTTGGGGGGAAGAGGTTCCTACATCTGTGTTTGATCCGTTTGAAAGGTATGGCTGATTTAATTGTTCTGAAAACAGGGTGAATTGACCTCGGAATTGGGGAATTCGCAGAAATTCATTAGGATCTAAAAAAACAGAGAAAATCTTATCTAAAAAAATAATAATAATAATAATATTTTAGTTTTCTAACATATTTTAACTTTTTCACGAGAAATTTATATTCAAGTTTTTTTTTCTCGGAGGATAACCCTAGAGCTAAAATATTGTTTACCTGACATACTGTAGTAGTACTTCGGTTTTCTTTGATGATCGGGATCTGCTCAATGAACGCCAAACGTTTAAAAATTATGTAAAATTTATTTAAGAGACTTTTTGAAAGCAAGGAGAGTGGGAGACTTGGCGAATTTGCTTTTTGAAAAGCGCTAAAAATTGTTTGGGACATTGGCAGTGGGCAACAGGATGAATAAAGTAAAGAAAAAAACCTGAAACAAATAAACTAACATTAGCTCTATGTACTCCTCATCAAAATTGATTTCATTATGTTAAAAATATCCTCAAAAAGTTGATTTTTCGTTACATAATATTGAAATTAACTTACAAAGAGATTTTCTTGACTACGACTGGAAATTTAACATCCACTTTATCGAAAAAAAATCGTTACATGCGATACATTAATTTGAGTGAGAAAAATTTCATAAAACTGACATTTTAAACTGTCAGAGTCATTCTTCTCAAAATACATAATGAAAAAACCTATCAAATAAAACCTTTCTTTTATTAAAAGAAAAATAAACATTGGTGCTTATTAGACTGTACAAAATTCGAAGTTAATTTTGGTGACCTAAAGGACAGAATATACAGGGTCCGGCAGTAGTGCATCGGGCATCTGTAGTAGTGCAAGTAGTGCATCTGGCTCATAGAATAAAAAACTTTGGAATTTTGTTTAAGTGCAAACCTAAAGTATGTACATGTGTATTGTACAGTGTGTATATTGTATTGTACAGTATGTATATGTGTATTTCAGGAAATAGTTTAACTTCTATAGGGTGGTTCAAAAAAGTAAGAGTGGATCGGGATGATTTTTTTTTAAATGGAACACCCTCTATATTATTGCATATTTGACTTCCCATTAGATTACCTTACATAATCCGAAGATATGAGTAAATATATTTCAATAGTTTCAGAGATATTAATAAATAAATAAAAAATATATATTTTTCAGTCTTTCTTTAAATTATAATTTCTTATTTTTATTAATTATTAAAAATACAAAAACTGCCCTGAAATCAAAACTATATTATTAGGTATTTACTTTAGATTAAGAATTGGGCTCGTTTAAAAGAGCGTTTCTTACTCTATATTATAGCGTATAAACAATAATAATAAGCTTTTGAATGTAGACGTTAGGGGGCGCTGTCTTACAATTTAACAAGCATTGCGTGTTTTTTTTTCAAAAAAAATAAATGCGATAGTATATATAATTTTAGCTGATAGTAAAGAGTAATAAAAGCTTAACTTAAAACCGCATCTTGATATCCTCTTTCAAACCGAAGATATTAGCAAAATTATAATAAATCCGAAAAAATAGGCCCTTAATTACCTTATTAGCCGACCATACTAACAGGTATGGTAGGCTATTAAGATCGGCAAAAAAAAATTTTTTTAATTTCACTCAAAATGAGTTATTTGGGCCATAAATGACCTAAATACAAAATATTTTCATGGTGTCTGTCTGTCTGTCCGTCTGTAAAACGATAAATCAAAAACCGCTAAACCGATTTTAAACAAATTTGGCACAAAAATACTGTGGCACCCGAGAATCTGGCCATTAGATTTTGGTGGAGGTGGGGGGTTGGTAAGGGGGTATGGGAGGGGGTTAAAAATTTAAAAAAATCGTAACACTAAAATTACAGTAGCTAGCGAAACGCGGTTTTCAATTTAAGATTAGGAATAATATTTGCAACAAAATTTGAAATAACATCAAAATCAGTCAAAATCGCAGTTTTTGAGATAAAAAAATATCAAGTATGGGCCGCTACACGTACCTCCCGGCGCCAATTTTTTTTAACACGGTTACATCAGTAGCCCTCTTGATTATGACCATTCTAATAAAAAATAAGATAGAAACGATTGCTTTATTCTAAAATCGACAATATACCAGAATACGATAATACCAGATGTATTAATATCTAATAATTAAGATATCAATGACAGTGAATAAGAAACGACGCGTCAGTGATGGTAGGCTTAGGAAAAAAATGGTTTTGACGTAATAGTATAAACGTCAAAGAGTTATTAAATCAACATTTTGATAGTCTTAGCAGCGTTTTTTTTTCTTTGGAAGAAAGGTATTTTTAGAAAAGCAATCAAAAGATAAAAAACGCTGCTGATACTAACAAATTGTTGATATAATAATATTTTCAGTTTAAACTATCTCTTTAAAAGCAACTTTTTCCAAAGCCTACCATGAATTCACTGAGGCGTCGTTTCTTAGTCACTTTCATTGATATCTTAATTATTAGATATTAATACACCTAGTACCTATTATCGTATTCTTGCACATTGCCGATTTTTTGAATGAAATAATATTTTCTATCTTATTTTTTATTAGAATGGTTATAATAAAGAGGGCTAGGGATACCCTGTTAGAAAGATAAGGTAATTAAGGGCTTATTTTTCCGTATTTATTATAATTTTGCTAATAACTTTGGTTTGAAAAAAGATATCAAGATGCGGTTTTCGCTGAATTTTTAAACTTTTATTACACTTTATTATCAGCTAAAATTACATATACTATCGTATTTAACTTTTTCGAAAAAACGCGTCATGTTTGTTAAATTGTCAGACAGCGCCCCCTAGCGTCTACGGTCAAAAGCTTATTTTTATTGTTTAAACGAGCCCTCACTTGTTAAATTCCGATCAACCAGTCCGGAGTTATTAACATTTAAATAAAAACAGATCTAACCTTCCCCCACCACTTTATTTTAGCAGATAGGAGAAAATGGTTCCAAAAAAAATATGCAAAAATGAGTGAAGATTATGAATCTATTATTTATAGTATTCGTTATCTAGGCAAAATTGTATAAAAACTCCTTTTTCTTATTTTTAATAGCAGTTGCAATGCTCTAGCGGCCGCTCTACAAACTTGAAAATAATTTCCAGCAATTTCCCATGCTCTGTTTAGTTACAAATATTTTTTTCCACAAGCTTTACTGGTATATGGGTGGAAACTCCGCACTCCGGTCTCCTACTGCTGACGCAGTCTTCCCGTTTCCCGTCGTTAGCTAGTCTATCAAAGACATCATCATCCTCTAATTGCCGAGCTTCCATGGATTCTCTTATTCCGTTCCAGGATCGTCGTGGTCTTCCTCGTTTCCTTCGTTGCGGCGGAACCCATTGAAAGACTCGTTTTGGCCATCGATCATCTGGCATTCTCATGAGGTGCCCAAACCATTTCAGCATAGTTATAATATTTTTTTCCGCAAGCTCTACGACTAATACTTTCCGAGATACAGTCGAGAGCTATTCTTAGTGAGACACCCTGTACATACTTTGCTGGTTTGCACTTAAACAAAATTATCAATTTTTTTTTATTCTAAGAGCTACAGATGCCCGATGCTACGTACTATTGCCGGACCTATACGCTAACTTTGTATTCTGTACTTACTTACGATGAGTATAAAAGCTATTTATGGGAGTATTAAAAAATTATTTCTCATTACACTACTAAAAACAATTTTGGCATATTTGAATAAAAATAATTATTATTATTACATATTTCTAAATAAAGCATGCATTTTTCTCCCTTTCTCTTGTGAGTTTTTTTTAGGATAATTAGGGTACGCACTGACATAAAAATTTAAGTCGGCCGACTATTTAGTTGCAAAAGTGAAAACAATACATTCTTATGGAGCCGATTGGTCCAATATTTGATTACATTGCGTAGCCTTAGGCTATGCAAAAAAAAAGGCTAGGCTATGATAAAAAAACGAGATTTGGTATGTAAATATGACATAAAAAATTGACGTATTCCATTGTTTTTGGTCACTTCCTGTTTCACCGAAAATGACTACAACTTTTGATTTTTAAATGGCACCATCGGTATATTTTTACTTTATTCGATAGAAAATAATACTCTTAGTAGAATCACAACATAAATATGTCAACTTTCGACATTTTCACTTAAAAAAAATCGTTTTTTAAATTTCATTCTAGAGTGCCCCATGGCTGTGTTAAAACACACTTAAAAAAAACTAGTTTTAAAACACTTAGTTTTAATCAAGGGGCCTTGGAAAAATATATTTGATCGTCAGTTTTTCGTGTCTTGTCCTGACCTGACCCATTAAATGATGCCCAAATCGTATTTTTAATATCTCAATTTTTTCAAATGGAACAGGGGTGGCTCATTAGCATATTTTGAAAACCATTCTTTTACGAATAATTTGGTACCGTACATTTGATATTTCGAGTCAAATTATCGGTATGAACCGCATGTTACAATTTCAAATAAACCATATGTGAAAATGTCAAAAGTTGACTTATGATATTATGTCATTCTATTCAGTGTCATTTTCTATCGAATAAAGCAGAAATATACAGAGGGTGTCATTTAAAAATCAAAAGTTGTAGTCATTTCCGGCGAAACAGGAAGTGACCAAAAACAATTGAATGCGTCAATCAATCCTAATTTATGTCACACACTAACAAACCAAATTTCGTTTTTTTTATCTGAAGAAAATAAAAAAGTTATAGGGGTGAGCCACTTTTGGAAACGCATCCGGTATACTAAAAGTAGATTTAAAGAACAAATATCCCTTTCCCATTTCCATACATTTGAAATTTGTTTATGTTCTTAAAATACACTTGTCTAAGAACTATCTAATCCATTGTTAAAAAAAATAGAATGAGAACCCAGTTTATTAAAAATTCACTTGACACAATAAAGGCCATTTTCAGGAGAACTACCCAATCGATAAAGGAGACGAAATGACAGAAATAGAGAGCAAACATACCCCAAACAAAATAAGCTAGAAAGAGAGATAGAGGCAGAAGAAAGCGGTGCGTTGCGACCCTGACCTACACAAATTCTCTAATAGAGTGCGTGAAGACAGTGGCGTAACATGTGATGAAAATTAAGGGAATAGATGTGTGTAAAAAATTCAACATTATTTTGTTTTAAATTGAATCGTTTATTTTTGAAACACACTAAGCGACATTTTGCTATTTTTTCAGGAAATGAAAAAAACGTTTAATTTTGTCAACTTGTGATATTATTTTCCTGAACTGGTTTGGAGATGTTATTTGGACATATTTATTTGGTCTTAAAATTTGATGTTAAAAAACTGTACTTGGGTTGTTTCTGAAATAAAAGACAAACATTTTTTTTGTATTAATCGCAGTTTATAAAACTTAATTGGTGTTTATCCTACTAATTTCTATTGCCGATTTTTAACCTTAACTTTCCGGCTTACGAGCATGAGTA